AAACACGAGGAGTTGGAAAGCCAGGCATGCAGATTCATCTTGCGAATTCTCTAGCGTATGCCAATCTTGCGCCTGCAATTTATTAATCGGAGGGTAGTTGTTTAATAGTAACCCCCTTCAGCTGTCGCATCCCTTTCACCTTCCATTGATACGACTGTCACTCGCATGCAGTGCAGGGAGGCATTGTGACATATGACGTGATCGCGTGGTAAAAAGTCTATCCCGAAGTCGTCTACGGATGGCTGGACCTCAAGCTGACAGAATTGATAATGCAGACATCACGTTGACTTCGACTCGCTGGAGGATGCTCTTCGCGTAGTATCAACGCTGAATCCGGACCGGTGCTCTTCCGTGGCTTCTTTGTTGAGACGCTGGAACCTTCGATCCATTCGTGCGCGTAAGTGTCAATCGCGATCTTTCGGTGTCGCGCGTGACGGTGAGCGAGCGCTGCAAAAAAGAGCTGGGATGCGAGACCTATGTACGCACGGCCGCTCCAGATTGTCGGAGATGCGGATGCCGAAGCGCCGGGCGGCTTCTCGTGTTCCATCGCTGAGGCCGCGTCCACGGTCCATCGCAACACCCTCATCGAGCGCATCACGATTCGTCCGATACATTGTCCAGAGCTGGCTGTTCAATTTCAGTTTCGCGTGCGCCATGGTTTCTGAATTGCCCTTTACTTCCCTCGTGGTTGCTGACGGTGACGGCAAGCACGGCGCTGCTCCAGCATGAATTCCCACGCTTGTCCCTTCTGGATGCTACTGTGCATAAAGGGGTAGAGACGATGGGGCTCGCAGTTCATCGCGCGTAAGAGGACGACTACTCAAGCGCATGTATCATGGCTGTGCAAAGCTTGTAGGTTGCGAACGAGCAAACGAGGAGGAACCGTCCATCGACCGAAGACCGAGTAACCGGGACGATGAGGTGCCAAGCCCTATAAAACACGAGGAACCAACTGGATACCGCTAAAAAATAATCCTTATCGATTCATAATTCGTCGGACTCCTTGGAGGCTTGACAACTCACCGTGTCTCTGCGGTGCGGTGGCCTAAAGTTCCTCCGCAGATTGCGTCAAAACGTCAGCATGGCGCTGGCGGTATGCCTCTGAGGTCCACAAAGCTGGGCGGAACAACAGTCGAATATACACCACTACTACTGCAGTCTCTGTCTTTCGCGCTGTAGCGACTGGCGCATTACTTGCTGTATGCTTGGCATACTCGGTGTTGTCTTTCGCAGCTATCGTGTCGCGCGAGCCCGTGTCCAAGATTCTCGATTGGTCCACACCATCACATCACCTACGTAGATGATGTGGAGATGCGGATGAAGATGCGTATATACGCAAACACGTCCGGTGAAATAAGTTCATCACCAACATCTGCTCAGCCCACAGTACATGACGCACCCAATCATACCCACTTTCGGAAGTCTTGGCTACCGAAGCGATGCCACTAAACCTATCCTGGGGCAATCCGCGAAACAATGATGACTTAGAACGTGGCTTGCAAGAGAAGGCATCCTGCATGTGCTTGTCAGATTTCGCATCCTTGGCTATTCTAGGACTAGCAAACGGGTCGTTGAGATACGCGTAGCCCGCACTGCCTCAGGCTGGGGCTATACTTGCGCCATGTATGGATTCGGTGCATGGTGCGAAACACCATCTCACCTGTATCTCCGACTGTTGGCTATAAGGTAAGGGATCACCCGTCGTTTAACAGGTCATCATCACAAACCACCGCATCTACCTCCATCTTCTCCAGAGATCACTTATCTCGATCGCTTTCGGAGTATTCCACCCCTATCGCAACGACCCTCCAGCTTCCAAGAACCCTTGACGATGCCCGAACAAGTAGCTGTCCCTCAGTGGTGCGTCGAAGTTGGCCCTGAATGTCCCGTAGAGGGTACACTATACGGCTACTACCCCAGTATCGAAGCCAATGCTTTCTTCGCGGCGTTCTTCGGCCTCTGCCTGGTCATCAACCTGGGGCTGGGTATTCGATACAAGACGTGGACCTACATGGTAAGTTATTCCTCGACTCGGCAGGACGCATCTAACACCCGATAGATTGCTCTCTGTCTAGGCTGCTTGGGCGAGCTTGTCGGATACATCGGACGCATCCTCTTGTACAACAACCCTTACGACGAGACCGGCTTCCAGATGCAGATCTGCTGCTTGATTATCTCCCCCGCCTTCGTTTCGGCTGGAATATACGTCACGCTCAAGCACATCGTCATTAACTTCGGACAATCGTGGTCACGCTTGTCGCCAGTGTGGTACACGCGCATCTTCATTACCGGCGACATCTTCTCGCTCGTTCTCCAGGGTGCCGGTGGTGGCATTGCTGCTACAGCAGATAGCGGCTCGGATTTGCAGGATCTCGGAACAAATCTCATGGTGGCCGGTGTCGTCCTCCAGGTCGTTGTTCTGTCCATCTTCGGCGCCCTTCTCGTCGAGTACACCATCCGCACCTACCACCGCCGCGATCAACTCTCTTCTGGAGCAATGACGCTCTTCCGCAAGACATCGTTCCGATGCTTCATCTTCGCCATCATAGTCGGCTTCTTGGGTATCTACATTCGATGCATCTACCGTATTCCGGAACTCACCGATGGCTGGGGCAGCGAGCTCATGCGCGATGAGACGGACTTTATCATCTTGGAAGGTGCCATGATCGTCATGAGTGTGTTGGTGCTTACCGTATTCCATCCTGGGTACTGCTTCCCAGCGCTTGGTAACACGATTGGCAAGAATAGGGCGAGTCGGGGCAAGAGTATGGATACTACATCATCAGATAACGATATGGTATTGGGTCGGGTTTAGAAACCCTGAGTGTCTGGATTACGGGTTTGCCTTCAATGTGCCATGGCATAGCGCTTTCTTTTGTCAGTTGAGGACCTTAGACACGGAGACATAGAGTGACGGATATACCGGGGGATTTTATATGTCGAGCAAGGAGTCCAGGAGCTTCTGAGGCGTACTCGCCCGTTGCTAGTATCGCAATTCATCTTACATATCACCTCGTCGTGTATCCACATTTTTGAACACTTATTCTCGCGTACGAAGTTCGTTACGAAGTTCACTGCCTAGACCCCGCAGATGGACCCTGCCCATCCTGACCAGGAAGCATGCTCCCTAGTTGATGTTGAGGCACAGCTAAATAGTACCTAGACTTCATATGCAGCTGTCGCTGGCGACAGATTGGCGGGCGGCGCCGGAGGCCGAGATTTCGGCGGAGGGCGAACCGAGGTGGATCCAAGATGAGGCTATCTTGGTGTGGGTATGCGATTTGCGAATTCCATGGCCCTAGGAGGTCTGGCTCGTACCCTTTTCGTGAAGGTGTTTCGGCATGTGCACTCCGTTGGCGAATCGGCAAGACTGGCAGTACAGATCGTGGCTCGCATTCTCACACTTTTCCGTTTTTGAAGCCGTGGCTGGGGCAACTCGTTACGAGAATCACGTGTTGAAGTTTTCGGATTTTGCTCTCATCAGATATGATTCTCCAATGCAACGGCAGTTGAAAGAGGTAAAGTTTGTCGACATATAGTTAGCAAAGCCGTGCACATACCATATCAGTCGTTCTATATTCCGAGTGCTGACTGCGGACTCGAAAAAATGAGGCGGTTCGGCCTGAAACTCCGGACCTTACATAGCAAGCAAAAGAGGACGCACGAATGTCGCAGTGCTACAGGCACCCGTTCCCGTTGATGGTGTTGCGATCTTCGTGCAATACCACGACAACCAACGCATGTCGATTCCACCCAACTTGCCGATGCATGTAGCCAGTAGCATCCGTCGGACATTTTTTGCAACGCGATGTGGTCTAGGCTCCGGATTTGCCATCGTGGCACCTCAAAGCAATCCTGGAGTTCAGTCTGCCCAGTGACGTCAATCACGCATGTTGTATTTGAACCTCGTCCGCCAGCTCTTCCGAGGCGCATTGCGATTTTGCCTTTCTTCTCAATGTACGGTCGGCGACATGGAGAGCCCACCAGGCAGGACCGGTGGCGACGCTGCTCTACCGACCTGACTGCCGCGCCCGTTGGCGTATATGCATGGTATGCCTACTAAGGTCAAGAGAAGGTTGTTTGGGAGACGCTGTGGATGGCACGACGTCACACTTCGATGCGAGATATTTCTCGGCTGCAATGGACCAGCCTAGCAGTCAGCACGACACGCACCGCCACCTCCACTCCACCACACCTGTTACTACACGCCGTCCAATCATGACCAGTCTTCACCCACACCTCAGACGGTCGTTTGAGGCTCTCGAAGGGTTAGGGAGCCTGGAACCCCGTTGAATGCTAGCGAGCAAATACATCTGGACCCGAACCGCCGCACGTGTGCCGCCGAAGCTAGCCAATCTATCCGTCTGGAACGTAGCCTCGGTTTCCACCCTCATGCACTTTTCTCCTTCGCCTCTTTTTCATAGTAACAGATTCCGATGCCTTATTCTGGACCGATCTCTACAGCACGTGAGATGGTGCGCCATAGCGTCTCATTGGTCAGGAGAGCATTCCCGGACGAAGCTTGCTGTCGGCCTTTTGTACCGAGCTTTCGATCAAATTCGATCTTGGTCGCAAATGCGATCTGTTCTAATATTCCAAGGCGAGGAACCCGTGGCGTCCCCGACCGGTTTATCTGTGCAACAGGAAGTGGCGAACCGCTGCAGATGTGTACAGGTTGGCGAAGCGCAACTCCAGAGCGCGAGGCGAGCCCAACAACACGGCCTGCTGAACACGCTCACGCATCCGACATTGCCTAGGCTCCACCGGCTCCACAAGCGACTTTGGCATTTCTGAGCACCGGGGATCTCGCCCACTACATCGACATTCACGGTATGGATCACTCGGAGCGATGGCAAAGCATTGCACCAGCCTCAGATGAGCCGGGGCAGCGACGCGCAGCCTCAGACCGGCGGAAGAAGCGACAGGCTGTTGCCGTGGCGTGCGTGCAGTGCCGAAATGGGAAGGCCAAGGTACGTAGAACCGAGTTACACGCAATAGCAATGCCCTGGACCATCCCAAGGTATTTCGCTCAGCTATCAGGCACTATGCCATGCTACAGCCCTGCGAGGCACTGAAGGATACTTCCAAGTACTCAAGGCCCATGCATCCCTGATTTGCGCTCTTCTATAGGTACTCACATCATGTGACACTACCTGTACGTAGGCCTTTTGCAGCTTTCATTGGCCCCGCGGACTGTGCTGATTGCTTATTCGCAGTGTGACGGCACCAGACCCCGATGCAATCGATGCAAGGAGAACGACCTATCATGTCAATACGACGTCGCCGAAGGTGTCTCGCGAGCCGAGCGGATGAAGATTATGAAGAGAGACAGCATGACTGGCGAGCTGGATGACCTGAAGCGCATTGTTACCTCGCTACGCTCCGGGACCGACGACCAGGCCGCCGCTGTCCTCGCTCGATTAAGGCTCGGTGAAGCACCTGAAGAGGTCGCAAAGACCCTCCCAATGACAGTATCCCCGGCGGTATCCGGCCAACCCCCCAGGTATGCATCACTCGACAGCTTCCTCTGGCTACAACAAGTTTATAACTCTGGTTCAGCTTACTGGCTCAGGAGTCCACGGACACCTCTGGAAGCGGTATGAGCCACGAATCGGCATTTGACACGAGTAAAGGCGCCTCACAGTTTCGAAAAGGCTCCAATATCTCCATGGCATCACCCACCAGCCAGAACAGAGGCTGGTCACCGTCAGCACCTTCATCAACATTTGCGTCGGGTAAGGGAAAACAAGCAGCAACGGCAGATGGAGCGAACGATCATCCCTTCCTAGTTCCGCTGTTTGATCGAGAGGACTATCTCCTAACAAGGGACGAGGCTGGGGAAGAGAGTGAAGAGGAAGATAGGCTTCAGGAAAGCCAGATTGACCCACGACTTTTGCAGCAAGGAACGAGCTTCGACGGAGTCGGGAACGCCGCACCATCATCGAAACCATCTCGGAGCCAACGGCCCTCACCACACAGACAAAACACGATACGCTCGGCATACCCTACGCATCTCACTGGTCGACAACCGATCGTGAACACCATCAGGATACACCCAAATCTCAACCTCCGCAACCTCTTCGGCAACATGCCATTCTCCAGTAGCATCCGAAGTAACCACTATCCAGGCGACATTCAAGAGACGCAAATCACCAACCTGTTTCTACCCACATGGTCCATGTTACCCATTAACACAATACCTGACCCCGGGTCATTAAAACGCGCATTCCCTGGTATCTACGAACAAGCCACAACACTCATGAACATGGGCATACCCGCCGACCAAATCATCGAAACCCACCCCAACATCGCCGCACTCTGGGACGAAGACGTATACAACAACTCCGGCATACTCACCAAATGGGCAGTCGGCATGGTGCACGGCGTATATATGAAGGGTACATTTCACCAGGCGCTTGGCGGGGGGGGCGGGGGGGGGGGGGGGGGGGGGGGGGGGGGGGGGGGGGGGGGGGGGGGGGGG